ACCAAATCACGATGTCACAATTCCTTCTCCATGTAAACACGACACTGCACTAGCCAACTGGTAATTATTATCCCAGGAAAGCTCATCAAAATTATCCTTTAAATAATTTCCAAGTCATTACTAACAAATACTTTAAAATTGGTCATTTTTTTAAAAAAAAATAAGAGTTAAAAAAAGATAAAATAAAAATAAAAAAATAACAATAATAATTTTTATCATGAACATTAAATAATTTGTTTCGAAGATATCCCACGAAAATGAATAATATTATCATGAAAATCAACTTCACAATGAAGTTCGAGCTAAATTATTAACAAATTATTAATTTGATGATTTTATACTATATAGATAATAATAGACCAAACACAAATTTATTTGCCTTTACCTCACGAACAGGTTCTTTAACAGAGAAATCGTTAAAGTTATTAAACGATTTTAATCACTTCGAAATTACTAAAATGTTTATATTCGTAGTATTTGATATTTTACTTGAACGGGTCTATATCGGTTCTTCGACCTATATTTTAACGCCCCGTTCAATAACTATATTATCTATTGGGCTTAGTGCGCGTGACCAATATTAATATAATATCGATCAGATTATTATGTCTTTCATTGATACATACTTCTTCATTAATCGAGAAAGTTTACCTTAAATGTAAAAAAATAATACGTTAATAATTTAATATACTGTAATTTAATATAAATTTACTTTTAAATTACGTTCACTTTTTTATTAGATAAAACATTTTTGCCATATAATTATAAATTTTCAATTTGTTACCTTTAGACCAGGAAGAGTAATTTTCTACAAATATTAAAATAAAACCTTAACCTCATTTTGTTACCTTTTAATTTCCATATGGTATTTAAAAATCCTAAAATGCATACCTGATCTATTTCAAGTTGATTTAGGTTCAGATTTTGCTGTTTGAGGCGTAAGTATAATTGAGGATCATACTGCTGTAGGAGAAGAGCATGTCTGATGAAGAACTTGTTGAGAACGAACTTGTTGTTGCTGCTGTTCTGTAAGAATTGGTTTAGGTAAATAAGCACAAAGTTGTAATTGTTTTCTTTTTGAAGGTCCATGAGAACTGGTATTAGTACGCTTAGTAGAAGTTTTTATTTAATTTGTACTTGATTCATGTTATTTTTCTTTTTTTTTTAGAGATGAATAATGAAAGCGATCAAAAATTCTATTTTGCAGTTTCAAAAAAATCAACTCACTGATCGCGTTACACAATTTCATCAGTCAATATAATCGGCATTAGGATCTTCATATGACCAAACACCTCACCAGTGTTAAACTTAAACGTCATAGGAATTTCACACCACGTGATTTGTCACCCTGCTAGTAAAACTATTTGTCACGCCTATATTTATCACACAGTTAATTTCTTATTGCCAAAATACCAGCCAAAAGTTACATGGGTGAAATTTTTATTAAATAAATAATTTAAGCAATTAATCACGTTTCATACATCTAGTTGTAAAATTAACAACAAAGATGAATTGGTTTAGTGGTAACAGGTCTTGATATAGTTTGAAGCGTGCTATGTATTCGTTGGTTTTAAGCAAAATCACATGATACTTTTCTTCTTAATAAGTAATTAAATTATTAACTTATTAAAAAATATTTTAATGGAACCTTAAATTTGTCCATTAGTTTTGTAAAACTTTTTAAATACAGAAAATTGTTTTAAGGCATTCTTTATTGTGAATTATCAATTTTATTTCTGAAAATTAATAAATATATATATTTTTACTTTTAGTCAATTGAAAGTTTGAGGAACCTATTTTTTTTGCATAGAGAAATTAAAATATTTTTTTTTATATACTCTTTTTAAAATATTTCATGAATTTTCACAGCATCATAAAATCATGATATTCCACAGTTGTTGCGTGAAATAATTTGTTTTCACAATTCTATCATACAACATAATCTTTTTAATCCACCATTATTTTTTATTTTCACTATGAAATATTAGTAAAATGTTACAAAACTTATATATATATAAAAAAGTGATTGCATTTAAGAGTTTTGCCATCAGATAGTCAAATATACAGCAGCAAGTTTTATTCTGTTCCACAAAATAAATAGCGTGAAAAAAGATTATTATTAAAGAAAATATTAAAATAAAATGGGTTATAGAATTTATTGATTTGATTCGATGGTTCGCGATATCTTTTCACTTTTTTATTAGATATTTTATCATACCCTATATGTGGGATGAAAATTTACTTGTAATTGATGGCAATACTTTGGTTGTTGAGCAAGTATTCCTAAAAAAAATACCCAACTTTAATTTCATTGATAATTAACAACAAACTTGAAAGTCAGGATAAAAATATTTGTCAATAGGTATGGTATTGAATCTATCAAAATTGATATATTGTGTTAGCAAATTTGGACTTGCACATTACCAAGTAGTGAGTTGATAAATCAAATCTGTATTATTATATTGTGACAGAGCGTAGAATCTACAGTTACATTAAACCCCATTTAGAAGCGGATGAATCTGACTATCAAGTTCATTCATATCTTTATAAGATATTAAAATATTCGCATTCTAAGATATTATACAGTACAACTACACCTAGTACTATAGAAGCAAGCGTATTATTTAAATTGAAGTTATGTTTCTTGATTTTTATTATAATCAGCTATCTAAAAATTTCATTTAAAAGTTGCAATTTCTTTTCAGAATCATTATTTCCATGTCTACATCCGTGACATTATCCACAATTCACAGTTGGAAATCTTTCTTCTTGTGATGTGTTATTTAATCCACGTTTACGAGTTGAGTTTTTTGATTGTTCTTCTTGAAATACCAATGGCATTAACGGTAGGTGTTTCTAACCAGTAGGATTTTTATGAATGCAATTGTTTACATTTAAAATAAAAACTAAAATGTTCTCATTTCTTCTCAATTAAAGATAATTTTTTTTACTTTCGATTCAATATTGTCTTTGCTCTTACCAGAATTTTGCATGTGAAATTAAATTTTCAAGAGTATTATACGATCTAAATATCTAAGGATTATGCGATCTTATAGAAGCAAGTTATACAGAAGCCTAAATTTCATTTAATATGATTGTTAGTTCGAATATTCATATTAAAAATTTTATTGGTAAATTTGACACGGCTAATAGCCAATCACGCATAGCTTTCTTCTTCTATAAGAAATTTAATCATATAGTATAGTTTAATATAATTTAATATACCTTTATACCTTTATAAGTTGTAATTAACTGCAACTAGTTGTAAATATTTATAGCACCATCTTTGGAATAGAGATTCGATATTCGGATTTAAACCCGGATCCGATTTTTAAAATTAAATAAATCCCGGCTCCAACCTCTATCATCTTCTTCAAAAGTTAATTTTTCTAATTCTTCAAGTACCTTGTATTATTTTGGAAACTTTGTTCTAATTTAAAATAAAAAGCAAAAAAAAAAAAAAAGGTTTTTATATTCTACATTGCGATACAATAAACCTGTTAATACCGTTAAATTCGCAAAGTTGTAATCGAAACTGCCGAAACTTTCGAAACCCATCGAAAACCATCGAAACTATCGATCGAAGCTGTCGAAATAATTTCTGAAAAGTTTCGACTTATACCAAAATGGGTTGAGGGTTTTGCCTCACAACTATAAAAACAAACAGATCATTAATTAATAAAATTCTATCTTCATAAACGTTTTTTATTAGATTAACGATAACTTAATCGGATTAGATTTGCTATATCAATTTATCAGAAACGACAGATTCTAGCTTTACCTCTTCTGTTATTTTTTCTTCAAGAAATACTCGAATCTTTAGGAATATTTGAAAGTAGTATTCTACTAGGAATCGAAAATCGAGTATATAAATCGAATCTATTGTTTAGTATTGCAATTATTTTTTATAATAAAAAAAGGAAGTCCGAGACGTAATTCAAACGGACCAATATCGTTATCGAAGCATTGCTTCATGATAACGAAGTGAAAGAAAGAGCTAGAATTATTTGATGAAGGAGTATCCGAAATTACTATAAATGAATATTTATTATCTTTTGACGAAGCAGTCAAACCTAGTAATTAAGAATGGGCTTTGTCAAGCGGAATACTCGTCAGAATTGTCCTCTCACAATAAACATTAATGGTTCTAGAAAATTCTAAAAATAACAAAAAGAAAACAGTTGAAAAAACATGTAACAAATAAAATTCGAAGTACGTATTCTTGAAGGCATTGGGAAGATTGAGGTTGTAAGTAAAACAGAAAATTGATTGATGTTTTAATGTTTTGTCCACTATTATCACTTCTGCAGTTATGTTTAAATTATCGATATTGATAAAGAAAATGAAGAATCGTTCAGCCCAAAAATAAATCTTCAAATCACGAAAATATACTTCACAATGTACTTAAGCACTTTTTTATTTGTGATTCAGTAACTGTGCCGGTAAATATTAAAACCAATTCAAATCTTTTATTACTAGCATTGATATGATCCGCATAATTTTGTGGATGAGGATGGCAAAGCAATCAAACTGACGGAGATGAATTTGTTCTTGAAACACTGGCCCCTTTGATGGACATTATTTCTTCAGATATAAACTAGATTGTCAAACTTCGATGGTAACCACATTTTTTATGTAACATTAAACATTCTTTGTAAATTTTACTATCTATATTTCAGTAATGCATGCTGGAAAATAGATTTGAGGATTGAAACTCGGAGGCAACGCATAGAACTCAGTCATTCTGAATGCGCTCAATCACCGACATCTGCAAAAATTGTTCGTGATCGAAGTAAGATTTTACGTATCAACAAATGTATACTTGACAATTTTTGCTATGGATCAGTTTTATTTTATTTACAATAACAACTATCAATATCAAAATCTGCGTCAAACATTAAAGGTTTTATACTTCTTTAAGGTTCAAAATAAAATTTCTCATAACCATTTCATGCCATATGGGAGGGGCCTGTAGAAAGGGGGGGGGGGGGAATCAAGTTTTAGTCAAATATTTTTTATTGGTTCACTCTGCCGATAATGGTCATGTGAACAAAACTATCTTAATAACTAAAATTACTCAAAATTTGTAGATTTCCCCTTTTTCTATTGACCGCCTCCCATATTTCAAAGATTCTGAATAATTAGATGTGTCTATAAATTTTATAACAGTAGTTTGCCCTATTTACTGAAAGGGTTTAAAATATCGTTACCAAATAGAATATATTTTAGCCATGATTTCGTTACGATCTATTCTCTATATAGAATGCAGTTACTGCGCATTAAGACGTAATCAAATTTTCACAACCATTACGATATTAATTATCGAAATTAGCAAGAGATTAATACATATCATTAAAATATTGTAAAATAATTATATGTTTTTTACTAAATATCATGATATAAAAATTTTTGTAGTGAAGTAATAATTCTTTATAAAGATATTATACATCCTTGAAGAAATAAATGTTTCTAATATACAAAATTTATCAAAATTGTGACCATTACCGCCAATGCATCCATCATCATTACAATAATGAATAAAATGCGCAGTGCTATTTGTATTCATTTCGCTTAAAGGACGGATTTAAACTTGACATCATAACTTCTTTTGATTAGCAATTTTCGAATCTATCGACTACAACAAAAGCAATACGTTAATTTCTTTTATGGCTATAAATTTATCATAAAAGTGCAAAATTTTACTCTCTTTTTCGAAAATATAGTGACAACATCATTGAAATACAGGAGATATACTCATCTAGTGAAGAAATAATAAAATAATAAACATAATTAGTTAATAATCTTACAATTTACTAAAAAACTTTCTTCAAACTGTCCTCTATTTCTTTATCAGTTCGAAGGATTGTTCAACAATGAATCAATCATTCATTAACCAATTTAAGTGATGCGAAAGGTTCTTTAAAGCATTATTTGTAGAATAAAAGCATTTATCAGCAACACTGTAAATAATGTTGTATTTTGTGAATATTTATGCCATATGTAAACAATCTGACATCATAAACTGTGATGAATTCAGATTTTGCTTCCTTCGAAAATGCTTCGATTTTATCCTTAAAAACTTTAACATTTTTCTTCCTATCATTTATTCTCTTCAAATCAGTTATTCGTAAGATGGTGATAACGAGAAACTAACAATAAATCAAGATCTTAAGAAGTCTAAGAGTCTTTTGTTGCATTGCACATATGACATCCTCTTATGATACTGTGTCTTCAAACCATAGCTAAATCATTTTCTTGTAGTAAATCAACAATAACCATACTTCTATTTTCTTGCACATTCATTATCCTTTTCTTGTTGATGTTCAAAAAAAAAGATCAAAAGAAATTTTATCTCAAAATCTTTTAACAGAATGGAAAAAAATAAAACTTGATCTTATATATTATCAAAAAAATCTTCTACTGCTAAGGCAGATTATTATAATCTTAAAGCAAGTAACGCTATTATACCATTTGTTTCAAAATGTAAAAAGAAAAAAATGTATAAATATGTATATATTTTATAAAACAAATTAAAAGAAAAGAAATAATTTATGAAAGCTCTATAATAGATGATATAAAAGAAGGATCTTTATCAAAAAAATTTGTGTATATATTTTAATTTATTCTATATAATATATATTATTTATATTCAATAAATAATATTTTTATTTTTTTATTAAAATCAGAATCTGATTTACTATTAGAAACTACAAAATTAGAAATATATAAAAATTTTTCTAAATGTGAATATCATATTTATAGATGCTTAATTGCAAGGGATAGGCCAACATATAAATAATTACCTAAAAAGAACGATAATAAACAATTTTATTTTTTTGTTTTTGACTTTAAACTTGTAACAATATCCGACATTAATGATAAGTTTTTACAAAAAAGATAAATTTATTTACACAAACAAATCTAAAATTGTTAAGCATGTTTATTCAATATATATAGAACATGTTTGGATTCTAGAAGACAGAAAAAACAGAATTGCATTTATTAAAGCCAATTTCTAATACTGAGAAAGCTTCCTCATTAGAAGATATAGAAGATAATATTTATTAACTAAATCAATATAATAATATTATCATTCGTTATATTTACTCATTTTGTGACAATTTTAATAAAAGAAAATAAACATTATTTATAATACTAATCGTGCTATCATAACTAATTCGAAATTTTTCTTAAAAAAATAAATACATTTATATAATGTTAAAGCCATTTACAGATGCTTCCAATGCTCCTATATTAAATGAAATAAATGGTAATAAACACTCATATATTTATTAAGACAAATTATCATTCTTTAATAATTAATATTTTTTTTTTAAAAAAAAAAAAAAATAGAATGTAAGCCATTTAATTTTATTAAAAAATATTTGAAAATATCTAATATCATAATACTATATAAGAGTAAGTTTTTTATATTCATTCATATTGAAATTTAAATCTAATTAATTTATTTTTTTAAAAAATACTAATGGTTAATTAAATTTTAGTTAGCAAATTATTTTATTAATTTTATTCAAAAAAAGTTTCAAATAATCCTTTAAACTATTAATCTTAATTTAACTGCTAAATTTTTCTTTTGGAGAAGAATTATCTTTTTTTGAAGCTTGAAAATATCTTCGAAAGTTAAGGATTGAAAAAATGGCTCTAAATTAAGAAAAAGATTTTCTCGGCTATCTCCTTGATTAGTTAGCAAATTTAAGACTGAAAAAGAAAAATTTATTAACTAATTTTAGATCAAATAAATATTTTAATAAATCTATGCAATTAAAATTATTAAAAAAAATCAATATTTTAAAAAAGTGATAACATACTATATATTATTG